CAGCAGTGCAGCAGCTGCAGGCCGCGGTCCGCGGGCTTTCCGCGCTCTGTGGCGCGATCTTGCAGATTCTGCAGTTTGAAATAAATAGTGTTTCGTAAACAATGCAGAATAAATGCAGTAAGTGCATGCACTTTGCATCTGGGTCGCCTTGCTGCTGCTGCTGCTGCTGCTGCTGCTGCAGCCCGCAGTCCAAGACCCCCTGGCTGAGCCGCGCGCTGCACTGCATCGGCAAAGCCATTTTGGCGGACAAAGCCGAAGCAGCTTCGCGGCATTATGAGCAGCAGCAGCTGCAGGACGGGGGCCTTTTGGGGGAGGGCGGCAGCAGACGCCGCAGCTCAGCAGTTCGCGCGGTGGCTCTTTTCCAAAAGTTCAAAGACTACAACGAAGGCGGAGACGGTGAGCTTCTTTCTGCTGCAGCAGCAGCGCAGCAGCAGCAGCAGCAGAGGTGCTGCTGCAGCTCCAACTAACGCCCACGGTGGCTGCTGCTAGGTGGCGGTAGTACGCGCGCTGCAGCAGCAGTGCAGCTGCAGCAGCAGCGCACGTACTGCAGCAGCAGCACATCTACTGCAGCAGCAGCAGCAGCAGCAGCAGCACATCTGCTGCAGCAGCAGCAGCAGCAGGTGTTGGCGTTTTGCTGCGCTGCAGGGTACTTGTCGTATGAGGATTTTGTCTCTGGCATAAAACGACTAAACATAGACGAAGAGGAATTGGGATTTGCCCTCACAGATGCACATCTCTTTAGAGTGAGTTCTGTTTTTCGTCTTTGTTTTTTTGTCTTTTTCGGAAATTCTTTTCGGCTTTTTGCTGCTCTGCTGCTCCTTTGTTTGGTGCTTTTGACTCTTTGATCATCTTTTTACCATTTTGAATTAATTGGGAATTTCAAAACTCAAAAGGGACTTTTTCTCTATTCAAATTTTTATAAGTAGACCCTCATTTGGATATATGCAGAGACGTTTATTTAAAAAAATAAATGCATTTTTTCAAGTGTATGTACCCTTGCTGTAAAATGAATACTTGTGTTTGCACAGTGTACATGCAGCAAATATATTTTGTGTTTAATAAATGCATTTATATATTTTGACAATATTTATGTATTTATTCTGTAGATACATGGATTCTACATGATATATATATAATATATATATTGTAATATGTATAAAAATATATACATATATATATATTA